AGGATACTGATGCTGTTCCCTGGCCATTCAGCATTTAAGGATAAATAATTAGAAGAAAAAAACATGTATTGAGCTCGATGTCATACAACGTTAAAGACACATAATGGTCGTAGGAGTCCTCTTCATCATCTGATGGTAGCTCGGAAAGACTCACATAGCCTGTTCCCTTGCGGACCTTCCGATGACAAGACAAATCAACACCTCTTCTTCGCTGTACAATTAGACAATCATCAAATGGCGTGCCTTCCCTTTCGGATCACCGGTATGTCCTTCGGCCTAACAAGGAACCAGCAACTGAAGATTTAGCTAGCTTGTCAGTCACATGAAGCACACCTGCATGTGCATCTCTCCAACAATAGTACACGCATGTACATGCAATCTCACCACAAAATTGCCGTAGAGTGCCTTCGAAGGAACATTGAAGCTTACTCCCCTTTCCTGCAAATTCTTCGGACACGGGAAGTGGGAAGTGTGCGGAAACAGGATTCGGATACTGTAGGATACGCAGCCAAGAAACTCAAGTGAACCACGCAACTAGTAGCTAGTTGATTCATATTGTTTCTCCTCGTCCGATCCATCTGATGGAAGATCTGATGCAGCCACGTATCCAGTGCCTTTTCGAACCTGCGACAAAGTCCGACAAGTGCTGCGAAAAATTTACACTAGCTCTGTCATACTATCACGATCTATCATGCCGGCACTAGTGCATATGGTTGATGAAGGCCAATGCAGTCAACCACTCTGGAGTGTCTTGAACATATGCGATGCACACAGATCTCGTCTCATTGCAAACCCAATCCTTGGTTCGAGGTTGTCCTTCTTGTCCAGATGCCTGCTGCTGATCACAAGACCAAATGACTAGCTTTGAAAGCTTGCATCTTCACTGAACGACGCTCTCTGACAAAACACATATATGAATGATGGCACCTGGAAGGATACTGATGCTGTTCCCTGGCCATTCAGCATTTAAGGATAAATACTATAAAGAAAAAAACATGTATTGAGCTCGATGTCATACAACGTTAAAGACACATAATGGTCGTAGGAGTCCTCTTCATCATCTGATGGTAGCTCGGAAAGACTCACATAGCCTGTTCCCTTGCGGACCTGGCGCGAGAGACCCACATGCGCCGAATGGATTTGGGATCGCCGAATGGCCTTCTGTTTGGGATCGCCGTTGCCTCCATCAGCCTTGCCACAAAGATGGATGTGTAAGCCCACACAGGATGCAAGATGCAAGCACAGGAATTTAACAATCAGTTGCTACTAGTCTCAAGCTCAACCCGCAAGTCAACTCCCAGTGATTTCCAGTGATTTCCCAACAGAATGAAGAATAAGAAGACAACAAGCAAGAACATGTACACCACCAGGGGCCTTCGCAGGAACGTTGAAGGTCACTCCTCTGTCCTCCTGATGATTGAGAAGTTGAGCAACTGTACAAGTAACTTGCAATTGCAATGAAGCAAACAATACTAACACTAGTCCAAGTTCTGCCAGTGAGTCTCCAAATTGGAAGCTTTTCAGAAAAGGGCACGTGCACGTGCACACACACACACACACGAACGAATCCAACTGGTCGGCCATCTGCGCCTCCTCTTCAGATCCATCTGACGGAAGCTCTGAAAGGGATACAAACCCTGTGCCTTTGCGGACCTGAACCAAGCAAAGGCAAACTCAAAGGTGAGCTATACAAAGTCCGTAGTAGGATTCACACATGAACATCAAATCATGTGTCGTCGGACCATCACAAACAAACTAAAACAAACTGTTTATGACATAGTTTAGCATTCTGTTGTTAGCTGTTAGTAGTTGGTTTAGCTTGAATGTACAACATAATGCAAAAAACTTGTCTATTCAAATCTCATCAAGCCTTAGCTCGAGGTTGCCCGTCGTCTGCAGACGCCTGCCAAGCACTGCTACATAAGTGTGCGACAAATAAAAAGTACTTTCAGATATAACTGCACCGTGTTATCCCTGAAAACTTCTCACTTGCGCAAATTTGTGCAGAAACATGTAGAACACGTGTACCTGGAAGGAGACTGCTGCCGTCTCCTGCCACGAAAGAACAGTTCAGGTAGCCCGAAAGCACTTCATTCATGCAACAGTCCATTATCATAGTACCGTCCGAATTTGTGTATGTTGTTTCGCCGAGAAGCAGCCTCCTCACCATCCGATGGCAAGTCAGAGAGACTCACATAGCCTGTGCCCTTCCGGACCTTTAGGGCAAGCACCGTCGAGAAGCAGAACACCAAGCAAGCGAAGTTGGCATGGCGTGCCTTGACTTTCGGATCTGCGTTGCGGTCTTCCACCTACAAGTAGCCATGCTTCTGAGATGCTTCAGCTATCAACCAATGTGTCAAAATTGTTGAACAGTCTTGAGACTGTTGTACAACTCCCCAAGCAGCTCATAATTTTTTGAACAGCAAGTATGGCTACAATGGCTACAACTCAGTCCCAAACACAGGACCTTTCAAAACCCAATCGCAAACAGCGTTCTACTCGCAAAAAACAAGGAGTCTTTCAGCTTCTGGAAGCTGTGCCAGTCTCAACCCAGTCTTGGATAGACCTGGTGACCAGATTTCAAGCATTCACCCAGCCTGAGCAGGAACATTGAAGGTCACGCCTCTGTCCTCCGCATTTTTCCGCGCAGGGAGAAACACGTGTTTCAGCGCTGCATGGCGCGGATATTGATGGTAGGTCCCCGTTCGTAGAGATACAGTTGACAACTCGCAAAAATCGATCACACAGGCTATGAACAAGGTGCATATAGTCCTGTTTGTCATGCTGGTTCTGGCAAGATTGGCAAGGTCCCTGCCTTCAACTCAGCCTCATTCATGGGGATTGGTGGCTATTGACGCTTTCCCAGCGTGGGCTTCCAGTGGATGAAAGCATTTTTCACCCATCCTTGGCAGTGTGCTTTTGTGGCAGGATATCTGTTTGCAGCAATTGCTGCAGGACTTGCTACATCCACAGTATCAGTCATGTTGGACTAGACGAGAGGACACATATGGGCGTGTATTCAAATAGGGAGACCTCCCAATTCGACTCCCTGGGACAAGGAAAATAGACCAGTCTATCATCCAACACCCATTGAGCCAGGGTGTCTCCCTATTTAAATACGAACAGAACGAACAACAGAACGCATACAATTACATTATATATGTTTATATATTATATAAATATGATATGCCATATCAAAACCATGCTCCTGTTCCACAATAGACCAAAACCCATCTCCAACCGAACGCGCGTCGCCGCTGTCGCCGCATCATCCTCGTCGTCCGATCCATCAGATGGCAGGTCGGACGCAGCGACGAAGCCGGTGCCCTTGCGGACCTGGAGGCTTTGAGGCAACGACGATTCGAGCACCCTGCAGGCTCCGAGGTCTCTCAAAGTTATAAGAACTCGGTATGAACTCGTCACGTCGGCACTTCAGTTTCACCCAGTTTGATCGACGGATGGATTTCGTTTCAGAGAGTTCCAGATTCGGCATGGCAGTGTGCTACGAAGCATGCGACTTGCAAGTGACAATTTGTTAGCAGTGTGATGAAGTGTGTAGCTCCTTAACTTAGTGTGAGGATTTATCCAATCTTGAGACTTGAGAAGCTGAAAATAGTTGGAGTCTACGTGCGTATCACAAGACAAAGACTCTTGTCGACGCTCTGCTTGTGGCCTTGGCCCGGGGTTGACCTTCTTCAGAAGGACCAGATACCTGCAAGAACGACAACGGAGCGCAGGTTTGACTGGGGCACCTAGCCGTCTATATGGCTGTGAGATGCTGTGAGAGAAAAGCAGGGGGCAGGGACTCAGGTTGACAACCGAAAATGAAATACCCTGCTGAAAACTAACATGGAACCTGAAAACCACGGGTGCAGCCAGAGTAAAACAGTCGGACTCAGCGTGCCATTCGACCCGGGTCCATGTGAGATGACTCAGGAGTGTAAATAGAGTACCGGTCAACCTACGAACGGGGTCCAGGTCTTGACCGATATCACCCAAGCCGGTACAAAGCAGCTGGTCGACCATGCGAGTTCTGGCAGAAGAAATGGCGTGTTTTGTTTTGAACCCGAGACAATGATACCTATGGCCCCGGGGGTAAAGTACCCAGAGTTGAATGGCATTACATGTCATATTCGCAGGTGAAATACAAGTCTCTGCGGCCAAAGGCTGTATGTTCCAAAGAAATGCATTCTAGAATGCCATTTCATGCAATTTCAAGCTTCAACTCTGCCATGAAGCTCCAAACCCCCGCACGTAAAACCATTCCAATTCAGAGTGGATGAACTTGCTCCACCTCGACTCCTTCCAACATCCTTCGACTCCAAGGACGTCTTCACCCCTTTCCTTCGACCAGAATTCCAAGCCGCTTACGAACGTCGTAACCAAGGGCATCGTGATTCGAACGGAGCGTTCGGGCGCCGGCCGAACGGGGCGCTCCTGGCATTGCTGGGAACAAGAAGCTAGTAGGTAGGAGGCCATCGCTATTAGGTTGGAGGCATTACTAGTTACTAGGAACCAGAAGCTACTAGGTTCCAAAGCCGCCTCTGGCCGGATCGTCCGGAACCCATTGGCCTCCGGGAAGCGCACGCCTTGCTCCTACGGAGTGAGGACGTGGTGTTCAGTCTTCCATGTTAGACAGAGGCAAGTTGCGTGTTCGAGGCCCTGATCATCTCCAATTCGAAACTCTCAAGTGCTTGTAAGGGTGTCTATGGTTGTGTAGGATTTTCTCATCAACAAAGGATTATATATATATATATGTGTATATATTGTGAGCCTGATTGTATCAACATATAAACCATGCTGCAAAAGAACACGGTTGTCAAGAAAGAGATTCATGTCGTGCTAAGAACCATCTTCAAGCCTTGCATCCTTCTCTCGTTCGTTGGTTTTCACACTCCCTGGAAATTTTGATGGAAGTGAGTGGAAAACCAATCATCACCCACCACCACCACCGCTCACCACCACCCACCACCACCAGTCTTCAGATATTCATGCCAAGTCCGAAGTCTGGCCTCCGTAATTAGTGGTATCAGTTGGGTCTATCCTATTAGCTGGGCCCAGTGGATGATGATGGTGTAGTGGCAGGCCTTGTCCAACAATAGTGATGCTCTTGTTTACTGACCATTACAGGTAAGAACGGACAGACCCTGCGGTATCACTGGTCTCCTGTGGTGTCGTCTCCTGTCGTGTCTGTGCCTTCTCTGCCATGCAGACACACTGCCCTGCTCGTCATCGGGCCTCCTCATCATCATCCGGCAAGTCCGAGAGGCTTACAAAGCCGGTTCCCTTCCGGACCTCGGTCCCCCCCGCGTCCGGCCGGCGTCCTCCGAGGGAGTACCCCTCTTCCGGCCGGCGCGAGAGCTGTGCACTCGTGCGGGCCCGAGGGAGGCAACTGGCAGTGTCAGGACTTCACAGCTACCCGGTTTGAATCTGAAAAGATTGGCCGGTGGAATCTGCTCTCCTCTCAAACATCTGGACGTCTAGTGGTGACAGGAAAGTTGAACTTTGAAGGAGTTTGACAAAAAGAAAGGTAGATCCAGTGAAAAAACTTTTGGAATGAAAGCAAAGACTTGCATGTGGTTTCCATAGTCCTCGCTGAGCAGAAAAGAATTCCCGCAAACTGATCATGTCAGGAATGACATGTTTCCCAGTAAATTCTAACAATTAAAAGTCACATCTTCTACAATAGGAACTGAACAAAAACCACCAATTCCACATACAAACCCACCTATCCACCTGGTTCTTACCCAGTGCCATAATTCTTTGACCATTCAGATATTACTTACATTAGCATGACCAAAACCAATGGCCGTGCAAAACCCGTTCGCGTTCTTTCGCTAAACCGGTGCGCTGTGCACCGGTCGACGGACGTGGAGGCTTCGACGGAGGGAGGGATGAAGCGTTCTTCGGTCATCGAAGTACCCCGAAACGTCACATTGGACCCTGATTGTTGGGGGGGTACCAACAAAAACGTGTTTCCTTCTTCCCTGGTTGTGGTTCTTGCAGGTTTCCATGTGAATTAGTCTTCCTGGGTGTGAATGATACAATTCAGTTCTGGCATCAAAATATCTCCATTGTAACTATGCACAATGTACTTGACTAGTAGTGGACTTATGTGGACTTACCTGCATGGAACTCGAACGATTTTGAAGCAACATCTACGGAGCTTGGCTCCACACAGGCTCTTTGGGCGAATGGCTGGCCTCTGCATCCTGGCGAAACCCGAAGTCCGCGCCAGGTCCCCACCACAACAAGACTAAAACACACACTTTGTTTTATCATCATCCACTGTGTATGTCTTGAGTCTATCCTATTGCCTGGGCCCAGTGGATGATGATGGTTAGGTGGGAGGCCTTGTCCATGAAAAGGTGATGTTCTTGTTTACTGACTCTTACAGGTAAGAACGGACAGATTCAATGTACACTTTCAAAGAGTATATCATCATCCCATTACCAACCGTGGATTTTGGTCCGCACCCTTCACTCAAATAGTGATCGTTTCCCGACTGTGGCAGCAGACGCGGTCCGGGTGTTTTTTCTCGGTCCTAAGGTCCAGCTGCATCCATCGGCTTGACGTGGGGACTGGTGATTGACGTGGGGAAGGACACACTCCCTGCAATCACAATGGAAGGGCCATTATACATTTCTACAACATAACATGTCAGGGAGTCTAAGCAGTACATCCCTTTTAGGGTGTGATTTAAATCAAGCTCCCAAAGCCCTGGTATGGGTGCTTACAAATCCTTAGGACTGTCATAGAGGGCCCTCACCCTCCCTAATCCTGCAACACAACCTCATATGTGCAAACCCAGTGGGGAAAAAAAGCCTTTGGCACGTGGGTTTGTCTAGGAAAAAACAATGACTTCATGAGGGGAACGAGTGAACATGCGGCCACATGCTGCTGGTCCTGTTCATTGCCCAAAGGTTTAGGGCAGTCAGGTGATCATCCACTCCTGTTCTCCTGAAAAATCCAACACTAAAGCCCCCTTCAAAGGTCGGTGTGACAACCCCTCAGGTTACCTGTCATGGCGTTTACCCCTGGCTGGTGGCCCGGGGCCTCTGCAATGAAGGAGACACCTCGGCCACCTGGGTCCTGAAGCGAAAGATGAAGGACGGAAAAGGGCAATTCACAATCATTAACAGTTCTTTAAGATGTATCAGCTGGGTGAAGCCAAGATAAAACAAACCACATTGTAAGACAACACGGCAAAGTGGCAAAGACACGGAATAGGGTCCCAAGACCGGGCCCCAAAGCCATATAGAAGCGTATACCAAGCAGCTATGTTCTTACAAGGGAAAACACAAGAACAAACATATACCCATGTCCCCCTTTGATTTATCGAGCCATTACCATGAAGAATGGCCCGAAGATTGGAGGCCAATTCACAGGGCTCACCGCTCCGTCGACGCACGGACCTTGGCTCTCACCCATCACCGCTCGGACTTCGTTTTCGATCAACGCCCGGATGAAGAGCTCTGAAAAGCCCCAAAAACCGAACAACCGGTGAACAATTAACAACCCAGAGGCTCATGGACCCGAACCAACTGCTACATGTTTGAGGTCCAAAACCCTGGCTGTGAGGGTCAAAACCCTAGCTATGATGGTCCAATGAGCCTTTGGGAACAACAAAAAAGAACTCTTCCCTCCCCCCACTGCTCCTGTGGCCCTGCTCGTGCGGCTGCTGGTCCTTTTCATTGCGGCACTCGGTCGCGACCCCCCCCCACGCTGCGTGAAGCACCACCCAAGGACCCGCAGGGACCCGCAGCTCCGATCATCACGAAGGAAATGGGGCTGAAACTGGGTTCGGTGGCAACGACGTCGTGGGGTTCGGTGGCAACGACGTTCTTCGATCCGGTGGGATTGATGAGTCCTTCGAGTCTGCAAAAGGTGTTAAAACTGGTTGCAGCATGTTGCAGCACCCTGTTTCAGAGAGAGGATTTGCAGACTCAGCACGGCTAGAGGCGCACGGCTAGAGGCGCACGGCTAGAGGCGCACGGCTAGAGGCGCACGGCTAGAGGCGCATGGCTAGAGGCGCACGGCTAGGCGGGCGCCACCTCCCGCCCCGAAGCCTCCCCCGAAGAAACCCCCAAGTGTTGTTCGCTCATGTTGTGAGTGATTTACATGGTCATCGTACGGGCGAAGTCACCACGGACGGCGACGGAGATTCGACATGTTGAGATTCGAAGATACATACTATAGACCGTCTCAAATCACGACGAGGACATACAAGGACCGTATAGCTCCTTGATTTGAAGCAGTTCCACTCCTCAGTGCAACAACAAACAGACTCAAACCAGCTCAGACCTGCGAGCTTTGGACGCGGTAGATCGACCGCAGGTGGCAGTGCCCTGTTTCCACGGCCCAACATCGGTCGATCCCCAGTCCTTTCTTTGGTATCCGCAGCCTGGGGAGGACGGCCAAGCACGGTGTAACCGATGTCCAAAGGTATCAAGCTCAAGATGTCTGAGGTTTGACATATTGCAAGATCTCAAGCAAGAACAACAACGCACAAACGAACAATCGAATAATCAATAAATATATATATTATATATTATATATATATTGTCATTTTGATATACTTTGATTCAAATGGATTCAAGACGGACATGATTGGTGTTCACAACAACCTCCCAGTTCGCCTTGAACAATTGATGTTCACATCCAAACTTGAACCCAAACTATCAAGTTGAAGGCCCAAATCCTCGAAACAGGTCTAGATCATCTACCGGGACCTTCAAAGGGGTGTCCTGGCTGGAGATGCCGGATGGTAGTGTAGGGGCTTCCAGCCAGGTGACCCCTTTGCAGGTGCTGGTAGAGATTATAGATACTAATGATGTCCAAATCAGGAACAACAAATCCCAGATGTTCAAACCAGTCCCACATGTTCCAAATCCAGCCTTCCCAAGCCTTCCCAAGCCTTCCCATGTTCCAAACATCCAAAATGATTTCCAGCCTTCCCAACATCCAAATCTCCACACCCAAATCTCCACCCGCTGAGACATTACTGGGACTCCCAACGGAGTGCCCTGGATGCTCAAGTCGGGCCTTTCCGAAGGTCGGACAGGTGGGAAAAGGGCTAAAATCAGAGCTTCATGCTCTCCAACCTACTAGCGATGGCCTCCAAGAGCTTCATTCTCTCTCCAACACAGTTGTATTGGACATGCCTTCATTGAGCATGTTGGGCGAACGCAAGGGCGTACGGGGAAAGACCCCGTGGTGGCGAATGGAGTTCCGCCTCCCTCTTTGGGGGAAGACCGGCGACGCCCGACCGCTCGCACCGCATCACGCCCGCAGCACGTTGCGCCTCCCGCTGGTGCGCACCGCTGTAGCACTGGGAGAAAAGGCTTCTCGGAGTCCGTCAATATGTTCTCCCACGCTCAGTGGGAGAACATAAGAACCCCGTGCACCCTTTTGTTCGTCCATTGCTGCCCGTGTCGGTCAGCCAATGTTTGAAGAGAACTTCGTCGCACTTAAAAAGCCAAACCAGCTTCAACATCAGCTGAAACAGCTTCTAAATCTCGTCGTCCTTGATTTTCTTTTGGCACCTCGTTTGAGTAGGCTGACCTTCCTTTGCCCATTCTCTGATCCGAACCACGCGCCTTTGCAGATCTGCAGATCGAGCGGTTGTGCCTTGGAAAAGTGAAGCCCTGAGATAGGGGGAGACACCGATGCCACTTCCACCCCATTGAGATCCTCAACGAACAGTCAGTAGTCATCCTGAGTAGACGGGAAAATCAAAACAAACCAAAAGGAAACCTGGTTTATCATTGGTTCAGATTCATATACCTTTAACTGATCCCCAAATAGATAGTGGCCACTACATTTTTAGTGGGGATCGACTTTCTATCTATTTGGGGGTCTATATAATATATATTCAAAGAACTATTCAAGGATGGTTGTAGTTTCAGCATGTTTCAGCATAAGATTACTGTTGATACCACCGGAGATGATTTACTCTTGCCTCCGAACATTGCTGCTTTGACCAGCTCATACTTAGTAAACCCAACCCCGCAGGAACTAGCAAACCACACATAAAGTTGGGTGATAGCCCAAACTTGATTTCTATAAGATTGGATCTCGAAGTCCATCGGGTCCGTTTGCCCAATTCTTTGGCCTGGCAAACAACACCTTAGACACCCACCAGCTTCATCGCAGATCTTGATCCAGTCAGGTTCCTCCTGCCGCGCAAAGAGATGGTGAGATGGTGGGGTCAACAAGTGGACTGCCAACGGGGGTCTTCACATCGGTTGGTCAAACACGTATACCACCTTCAGCTTGGGGTCTCCAATGGAATACCCTACACATCCCTATATCCATATCCTTTGGACACCCCTCCTATGACACACGACTCTCTTTCAGGAATTCTTTTTGACCATTTGGAGTCCACCATTTGGTGTGTCCAGGTGACAGGGTGCATCGGTCCACCCACACGGTCTGCGTCCATCGGTCCGCGGCTTCCGCACAGTCCAGCTGCCTCCATCGCTCCAGACGGCTCCAGACCGGACAGAGAGAGAGTGGATCCCATGCCCCGCAGGGGTTGCTGGGTACACAAACCAGGAGCATCCTGTTGGGGTGTTGGGGGTGTCCTTTCTAGACTAGCCTATACATAGAGATCTCCAGGGACACCCAAACAGGATGGTCTATAGCTATAAATAGGCTAGATTGTTGTGTATAGAATAGGAACAAGCTTCATGTCCATCCAGAATTAGTGGCCCTTTTCTGCCGAACCTCAACATCGTCGTGACCTCTCAAGTGGGGAACCCCCAGGTTGAGCACCTGCCATAAGCATGTGGGCCGGACCTAGTGGCTCCTCCTGGAGTTCACGTGGCGACAGCAACAATTCTAGTCCATTTGACCCAAGTATCCCAAAAGGTTGGCACCTCTTGAGGCTGAGCAGTAATTCAAAAAGCAATCCTCCCGTCGCTGAGTTGAGTTGAGTCTGTAATCTTTGTTGGAGGAAGTGTCATTCCGGTGGATCCCAGCCACTTCATTCGTTCTATGATTGAAGTCCACTGGTCACCACTCCAAGAGAGGTTAAGTGACCCTATAGGACCCTACTGGGGTACCCAACTGGGATAGTCTATAGGGTCGTTCAACCTGGTCACTGGTCACTGTTCCCGTCAGCACCGTTCCCGTCGCCTGCGGTACAGTCCGGTCTAGCTCGGTGGGTTCCCCAGCTAGACCGGTAATAGCTCGGTTTCACCCCAACGCCGCCAACCGAGGTGAAGGAACCTGAAAAAGGACCCGTTCGCCTTGGGGTACTTATAGGATATTGAATGATATAGATGGATCATTAGTCGAACTATAGGGTTCTTCAACCTGCGGACACACTCGCTCACCACCGGCGCGACGGTGTCGCGGTGTCGCAGGCGTTCGCTCCCCATCGGCTTCTTCTCGGCCCAGTACGGCCACCTGAAAGCGGCCGCTTCGGTGGTTTTCGCGGTGGGCGTCGCGGTGGTCGTCCGAAAGGGAGCTTCTTTTTTCGGGAGCTGCCTTCCTGGTCCCCAGGAAGAGTAGAAAGGAAACCAATTCGCTGATGTGTTTCTTTCCCATGCTTTTCCACATGGCTGCAGAGGTTCTTTTCAGACCGAATCCTTAAGGATAGATCCCACTTAGATCGGCCCTGTAAGACTCCAAGCAATGCACCAGCATGTGAAAACCCCACAAAGGATCGCCCATTGTACTTCTGACGCCACATCAAATACTCACAGGCTTCCAGAACTGCCAGCAAATAGCTGCTTTGGGGTGTCTTATCAGAATCTAAAAAGGCAAATGTTCAGGGAGATCTCAAAGAGATGGATCTTCTATGGGAGTTTGAATCTCGCACAGTTCCTTTTCGCAGCAACGAATCAGCTCAAGGGCCCTGTTCAGCCGAAACAGCAGCGACGGTGCATCAACTGTACGCAATACACCCTGGCTACAACAGCTGAAATTCACACCCGTCTTATCTACAGGTGTGTTGCGGGCTTTACAGTTCAAGTTGTACAAAGGCAGCCAAGCAACTCTATTCCCCGTGGGGCCGTAAACCATGCCATTCCATGTCGAATTCTCAAAACAAGTCAGGTGAGACTTCTTCATCCTTCTTCTTGGCTCCCTTCTCGCATGTGCCACTGTTCTCGACATTCACAAGGCCACTTTCCAGTGTCTTGAGGAGGTAGTCCGGCTTCATGCTCTTGGTTAGCGGGTCTGCCAATTGCTTCGATGTCTCAATCCACCTCAGGTGGTCACCATAGGGACTGTAGATCTCTGATGTTTTCTCGCCACTCACAGTCCATATCCCTTGCCTCAATGCGGCAAGTTCTATGCCAAGCCTCTTGTCTTGTACCTTTCTTGGAACTTCTGCCAGTAAATGGTCCGATAAGCTCCTGCAATCCGTGTAGTACACGTGTGCCATTCGCCTCTGGGTTTCTTCATGCCAGTTCTTGAAGTCATCAAGTCGTCCGGTCAGCTCACAAATCAGGCATCGTAGGCGATCTCCATGTTCGACTGCAGTTTGCAGAGCATATGCTTCTGCTTGCAATGTAGCACGACACACCCTTTTGAGGGTAGTTGAACCAAAGCTGATCAGATGCATTCTGTGACTGCCTTCCTTGAGGCTACTCGCATTCGTTATATAGTGAATGCGGCCTTGCTGACTCTTAAAGCCTTCTTCGTTTGCGAAACTTGCGTCACTAAATGTCACAACTGCTAGATCGCTCCAGTCAATCCAATCACTCTTGAAGGTGATCTGCAAGTCACTTCCTTGAAGTGCCAATTCAACAACCTTGTTGGCGTTCTTCAAGTCTTGCACTGTTGCCTTTGCGCTACATGCACGCTGCATCTCATTCACACGGTAACAAAGGTCTGGTCTTCCATAACGGGCAACCCAAGCCAAACTACCAACAACGCTCCTGAGGCTTGTCAACTCCTTCTCTGTCACCTTTTCCGACAGCTTCCGATGCTTGTCGATTTCAATCGGCTTCACTGTTCTGCAGTTTTCACTTGTAGAAATGCTCACGGAGTAGTCCTCATGCTGTACGAACTGACGTCCGCAGTATCGGAACCTTCCCGATTCTGTCTTGCCAATCGTGAACCTTTTGAGGATACCTTCAATTGTCTTCTTGCCTTCATCAAGGTAGCAATACAACAAGTCGTCAACATGTGTCGCGACCATGCCTATCAGCTTTCCCTTGGAGTTGTGCAAATAGTACAATGCAGGTGTAATGCGACTACACTTCAATCCGGCACTGGTGATCTCACCATTCATCCTCAAGTAAAAACCTCTGCCAGCGTCGATCGTGCCATAGATCGGAAGGCGTGCAACCAACATTGCATCCGGTGGAACATCCGGGCTTGGAATTCCACCACGTGGCTGTTTGAGCAACAGCAACCTCGTCATAGGCTGACTTTGAAAATACGCTGAGGAAACATCTGCCGCATACAGGGTCACACGATGGCTTGATGCGAAGCTTGCAATCAACATGTGTCCTTCAGTCTCAGCAGTGGGGCTATCGCAGCGAATACCCTGTGAATCACGGCTCACTTGTTCGTGATTTCCACAAGGTACTAGCCGAGATCTGTTTTCTGGCCGATGCTCAGGCGTACCTGTCAGATGAGCTTGCTTATCCACATCTACCCATTGCATAGGAATAGGAACATGCCCTTCTTGAAGTAACTCTTCCAATTCCTTGCCTCGAATAGGCATTGCAGCATTGAAGCTCCTATATTTGCTCCACTCTGCACGACGTGCATCCAAGATGCGGGCTTGCATCTCGGGAGTGCATCGGTCGTATTGCAGCGTCTTTGCCACCTTGCCAACCTGCGTCTCACTGTTTTCTCCAAAGCGTTGAGCCACGAAGGCTCGAAACTCTGCAGCATCGAGTTCAGTGTCGTCAGCAGCGGCCATGGCGATCAACGGGTGTTTTACCCGTGTAAAGATTGTGAAACCTGTCCATGCGCGAGAATCAACTTCATCCATGCCCGGCATGGACTCGCTGGTCATTCGACTTTCGTCTTCATAGACTTTTCTGGTTACGCGTCTTCCTCCGAATCCTTCCGGAACATCTCCGTCATGCAGCGGATGAAAATCATGAAATCTCCTCTTGTTGTGAACACGAATTGCATGATTCTCAGAGATTCTCCAATGATCTTCATTGTCAATCATTGCGAGCATGACCTCATCATCACCACCAATGCCTCCGGGGGTCATCGGAACTGCGACTGCGCTCCCACTCGCGCTTGCAGATGATCGGGCAGCCTTGCCCGTCTTATCTTCTGCTTGTGCTTCTCTCTTTTGTCCCTTCTTAGGGCTTGCTTCTTCGTCCATCATTCGGATGTACTTCTGCTGCCCCAATGTCACTGCCTCCGGGAAGACTGGGATGTTGTTCAAAATAGAGTAGGCCAAAGATTCACTCTCATTGGCTGATCTAAGTTTTCCGGCAGCACACAAAATAGGAATACCTTCATGTAGCAACCAGATGCCATTATGCGGGTCGATGCCAATCACACGCGAAGCAGTAGACCATACGGTTCCACCTTGCTGGGTGTCTCGACGGTAGACCACAAGGTCTCCAACCACAAATGACTTCTTGTTCTGGACTGCGGCATTCCTGGTCAATGCTCTTGCAACACGGGAACTTGTATCCAGATGAATAAATGCCTTTTGTGCAGCCATACGGGATGCGTGACACAAATGATAGCTTGCTGCAGGGTCAAGCTTGTTCTCCAAGATGCCCAAGTTTCCTGCCTCATCCATGTCTGTCACAGATCCTGGAACTCTTGGGTTCCTTCCCAGGACCCATTGTGCTGGAGAATAGCCTTGGACTCTTTGCATATGGTTCTTCACGGAAGTGCATTCGTGCAAACATGTTTCAACCGCATTGCGACCAACGGCTTCCATGTCATGGATGGTCTTCCTGAGAATTGCCTTCAAGATACCTTGGTGCCTTTCAACCTTGCCAATGGCTGATGGGGTTTCCAATGGTGCATAGAAGATCTCAACACCATGCGAAGCGAACAGCTTGGACACCTCACCTCGGTTGTGGACACCTCTATCCATGATTGCAGCCTTTGGAAAACCTGCCCAACTGATCCATCTGCGAAGGATGGCTTGTGCACAGGCTTCTGACGTTGGCATACCTCCACCTTCTTTGACAACCTCTGACAAATGGAATCCTGTCGAAATGTCTAGCATCGTGAGAATGCTGTACTTGCTTCCTGCATAGTCCTTCATTTCTGTGACATCAAGACCAAGCATGGCATTGAACTCATACTGGAAATTACTATTTCCTACCGGGTGGTCACGGGGACGTGGTGCAGTGTCTTCGCAGGACTGACAACGGACGAGACGTGCAGCTTCGATCAACTCCTTGCTTGCCTTACCTGCCTTTAAAATATTCTTCAAAGTTGACGGTGCGGGATGTCCGAACTGCCGATGCAAGCGACGAATTGCAATGCGAGTCCTCTGGGGGAGAGCACGCCACAATCGTCTCCGTTTCTGTTCTGTCACGTCGGCTCCGGGCAATGCAAGTTGATCTAGCATGAGTTCTTCCTGTTCTCTTGCCGTCAATGGTTTTCCATCATCATGTTTGGGTTCCTGAAACACTCCCTCAATGTCACTGTCCTCAATTTCAGAAATGTCTTCAAGTTCGTCTGCGACAAAACATGTCCGTGCAAAATGTTCCAAATAAGTTTCTTCTGACATGGTGTTCAACATCTCTAAGAGTCTTGCCGATTTCGCGTCTTCGAAACATTTTGGAATCATGTTCTCTCCGCACCAACCTTCCAGCGCCTCCAAGATCTTGGGGCTCTGTGGACCTGCCAAGGCAAACTCTAGGTCACCACCAAGGCAAATGGAGTGTTCGACAGATATCTCGAGAAGTGGTGTGAAAAGAAGAAGGTTGCAACCGTACATGTCGACTTCCATGAGCATATCATTCCAAATCCTCCTGGGGTCCGTGTTCTCCAAAAACAGTACAACCAAACCAGGGATCTTATTTGAAATGTGCTTGATGACCTCCTTGCGGGTCTTCATCCAGTTTGCACCTACATCGAATACCTTTGCACTCTGGGGTGCATTGATCAACATGTCATCCTTGACAATGACCATGTGTTGCACACTCAACGGGTTATTCGAAACAAGTGCATGCAGGACTGAGTCATTCTCTTGCAAAGTCTGCAGACCGGCGACAAACACTTGTTTTTCTCCTTTGTTCATAGTCCGGTGATCCAGAGCTACGAATGCGTGACCATCGCTGTCGGAGCTCAGCTCGATCTCCCCTTGGAAGCGGCTCATGATGAACTTGTCTCTGTCGAGCACCTCACGCGAGCTAGTCGGACGATCCGGAGTGCTTCGTGTACTCATGGTAACTACATCATCGTCTGACAATTCCTCTTTGGGTGCGTTCGACGGATCGATAGCGGTGCAGCCATGG